TGCTATACCGCTCACAGTTCGTTGAAAAAGTCGCGAGATTCACCGGTCATCGAAATCCGCGTCTTATGGCTATGTCTTGATCCAGAGAGACGGATTTGAACCCGAGGGCCCTCGACTCAGCTCAGCCAGTCGCACCTCTGATGTACAGAAGTGTCCGTTTGGATACGGTATGCAGCTAAATTCGATGAATCTTTTCGGGTTTTTGCTTACGATAAGCTTATGGCATGACGTGCTTATTGGTTGCACATCAGGTAGCCTACCATAAACAAAAACTAAAAAAGCTTACTCGCTACCGTGTCCGAATGGGCATTGTATACCACAAAATGCGCCTCGCCGAGCTGAGTCGAGTGGTGCCCTTGGATACAAAATTCGTCGACGAAACGCGCCGCGATTTTGGTAATTTCTGGTGGAGTCCAAGTTAGATCTGTTTCATTGATTGCGAAGTCATCTAGCAATTATCACAGAATTGCTACGAACAAAGTTATGGCGAGGTGGATGAGGACAAGCAGTTTGCATCACGAATGCGTTCTGTCATCATAGAGATGTACAATCAGTGGGAGAAAGCCGCTGGTTTGTTTCCTTCGAACTTGATCCCTTTAACGCTTCAAGGTTTAGATGGCGACATGCCTGACAAGCACCGACTCATGGTGATCATATCACTCTTCGTTTTCTTTTATCTGCATTTTCCCACAAAAGACACTAAACTACCGAAGTTAATGTGGAAAAGTCACAGAAAGGTTTGAATCCATTTTTTACGGCTCTGCTTACCTTGTCAAATATCTTGTTCCAGATTGTGGCCTTTCACCTTGTTGGAGACATCCTATGGATTCCGTGTGAATTTCTTATGCGAGAAATTCCTTCCATAGTGAATGCTGTGGATAAGAAGAGCGTCAAATTCATTCAGCATTTGCGAGAAACATTCTATGTCGAGCACTGTGATGGTATGCTCGAAGAAGCTGTCTCACACATAGCTACAGCCGAAGATTGGCAATTCAAGGTATTGATTTGAGTTACTCATAACTTTTTTGCTTAACACATAATGGAAAATTAGAATGATATGCGAGAACTATAATATTTATTCTGAGAAGTATCATCCACAAAAGTGGATTCTCCAGCATGATTCTTCCTCTTGCTGAGAATTGTCATGATTCCAATTTGCTCCTTTAGGTTTCACAAGTCTGCTATTCATCATAAAAATTAAAAGGGCCTATTGTACATTTTGTGATCTTCAGATGGAAGGTGAAATCAGGCGCACGGAAACGCGTGATGCAGCAACAAGTCTTTATGTGGCCGAAATGATGCTCAAAGTGAGAAAATACAAATTTTTTTTGGTTCAT